TATAAAATAATAGATATTTTCTATGAATTTATCTATATATAAATATACCTGAGTACTTGTATATATTCAACAATACCACGTGCTGATGAGTTTTATGCCATTCCTTTTCTTTCGCGTAGACCTTAGTTGTTATCCATTACACCCTCCTGAAGACGCTTCTCGGTGCACTCACTCTACCCAATTCCATCCCATTCGTTGCAGATATACTCGATTTCACCGTGCCATGTGGGTTGACTTTGTCTGTTAATACCTCCTACAGCTCGCGATTCAGTATGTTATTGTTAATGTCTAGCATTGAGGTGTTACCGTTGGTAGCCGTGTTCGGGTTTGGTACCAAAGGCATGTATTGCAATATGCACCTCTATGGATGCTTAGTATTATATATACTGTACACACTTTGTGTATCTTTTCAACCGTATCTGCAGCGGAGGGCCGGAATGGTCTAGTTATTTCATCTATGGTTATTTATAGATATACGACTTAAACCTGTGGTGGATTTATGGGAGGCTTACACAGTATATGTGTGAAATTCCCTTAAAGCCCAAATGCACCTCATCTACCTATTCCGTTATGTCAAATTGTGTGATGTGTGTCCGTATAGTGTATATTCGATGTCGTGTGCTGTATGCCCCTATATTGTGAATTTCATAGTCCATCACTTTAAGTCCATGGTCCAACTATACTCGTGTGTATGGTATCGTTCGCTTTGGCATCATGTAAGTCTGTATCTTCAACCTGCACTGGTCTGGCTATGTATGTATGTCTGGTCGTGTTGCCCGTATTCTTGTATACATGTTCGTGTTCTCTGTGTACAATTTATTTTTTAGCATTGTGTATGTGGGTTTATATAGAGCCAAGTTGCGCTTCTACATCAAGACAGCTTGAGCTTAAGCTCACGGTATGGGATACAGCATTTGTATTGTATGCTTTAGGATTTAGGGTTTGATGTGTCAGGGTTAGGATTTAGGGTTTAATAATGTATCAGGGTTGGAGTTTAGGCCATGCATAGCGCTTTGTTTGTCAGTGGTGCACAGTGCTACGGTTGCGCATGGTATCTCAACTGTATTGGCGCCCAGAGTTGATGATCTCTTCCGAGAACATATACCCTAAACCCTTCGATGACATATACTTAAACAGAAGATATATTCTACGCTCAAGTAGACATCTCCAGAGGCATATGCTTCAGCTCATAGTCTACTTAAGCCTTCTCCCATAGGCATATGCTTTAGCTCATAGTCTACTTAAGCCATCTCTCATAGGCATATTCTTGAGCTCATAGTATTCTGTTAAACCTGTGTGAGTGCATGGGCGCATCCATATCTGCTTCCTTTGGTATCCGCTAAGAGTGCCACTTTGCGCGTGGCTTAGAACACGATCTGCCACTCACACAGAAACAAATAACCAATGCGTAGTAGTGTGTAGTGAGGACCTTTCTCGCTGAGCGCTTTCTAAACGACAGCCAACCACTGCACCTGAGCCTTTGAGACGCACTCTTACCCCCACCACTCCGTTCCATTTGCGTTTAGACCGGTCGTGGGTGTTGGGTGTCCGCAATGGCATCCAGCCCAATGTGGCGTACACGTACTCGTGGGGTGAGCAGGCGCAACCTGCCCGCGAAAGTTCGGGACCTCAAACTGAACGAGAAGTCAACATGCGCACAGTTACAAGGCCCAGAAGGTTCCTGTCGGAGGACCAGAGCCAATTCTTCACACAGACACACGAGAAGTCTCCAGCACAGTCACCACAGCAGTCACCCTCAACGGGCAGAAAAGGGGCCACGGACACAGGCACAGGTACAAGCACGGACACAGGCACGGGTGCAACAGGCACAAACATGGGTGCAGGGGTAGGTGGCAGCATACAGGTGGGGGGTGGGCCACGGACAGTCGGCAATCAGGGCTATGAAGTCACGAACATGGATGTGCTACACACACAGTACACCCACAGCAGATCAGCAGACAGCCATGCACATACGGCGGATGGGCTGAAGCGACTCAGTGCCGCGCAGCTGCTGAGCGAACCTGAACACCCGCCCCAAACACGCAGTGGGGCGACATCCACACCACAGCATCTGACTCATAGGCTAGGCAGACACGGCACACCGCAAGACACCAGCGCACACAGCAGCCCACATGCCCAGGACGAGGGGCACCCCCAAGCCACGGGTGGGCATACCTCATGTGGGCACACACACAGCTACCTGCCCGCCCGGGACAAGGTCAAGCACAGGTGCATTGTAAGCGGCATCCTCTACGACGACATGGGTGTGGAGGGCAACGCGGAGATGCTGCTGGGCCCACGCACGCGTATGACACTCTCCGCCTACAGCTCATATCCACCGTACAACGCACGTGCCACGAACAGCCACAACACACCAGCCACCACACACCAGTCACCTGCTGCAGCAGAGGCAGCCGAGTCACAGCTCATTGCCTTTGCACGGCACACGTCGGCTAATGGGCTGTTTACGACGACGGGTCTATTCATGTCTGGCGGCATGGTGTTCGGTACGAGCTTACTGGTCAAGCCACCGAGGTAAACAGGGTGTATCTGGATGTGGCATATAGTATATGCGAATAGATTGTAAATGTATGTATATGTATTCGTGTGTCCAATATATATATATATATATAGTCTTATATATTTATAAAGTCCCTTAAGGACCATGGAGATAATTATGCTCACCTACTGCTGGGTTTTAGGGTTGAACCCCTATTGTTCGAGCTCTGTGGCTGAAGGATGTATACTTCCGAGGGTGTCAATTATACTTCGGGCGTTGCGTTGTAGACATTCGATGAAATACCACGCTGGACCACCGCGTTCCCATATCCGACACTCACCTGTTCGCTTACATGTGTTGGTATGACAAAAAACACGTCAGCAATTCAACATTTAATTTCACTATATATATATATATGTATATATATATATATATATATATATATATATTATATATATATATATATTGTGTGTGTGTGTGTGTGTGTGT